ATGCACTGAGTTGCCGCCATGTGATTGGCTGCTTAGAAATTAAGTGTTAACGAGCAGTTGGACAGGTGTACCTAATAAAGTGGCCGGTGAGTGTATAGATGCAGTGTGTGAAAACTATTTCCCATAATTTGTTAACAACATATGCTGCATAACAACTTAAAAGCTCCATATATTATTTTGAATCATTAGAGCTTAGTAAAGTTTCTCTTGAGCAGAAGTCTAGACTTTTAATGGCAACATTTATTTCTGTCATAGATGTGCTGCTGTGTTTGGGATCAGTAAAGTATCATTATCATGTCTGAGACTCAGTTTGGGTTGAGCATAAAGGCATAAAGATGTTACTCCAGAATATTTTAATATACAGTAGTTCATGGTCAACTCTATGACTTTAAGGTGTCCAGGGTATGAGGCAGCTAAACAAGCCCAAATCATCCCTCCTCCACCACCGTACTTAACAGCTGGTATGGGTGGTTTGTTCTGATTAACTGCTTTATCTGTTTGGGAAACTAGAATCAAAAATAGATGTTAATTTTAGATAAAAGAGACTTTTTCTTTTATTCATTTTAATTTTTAGAGAAAAGTGTCTTCTTATTTTAAGTATTTGAAATAAATCATTCTTATTCAAGCTAATATGTCCATTCAATTTTGAAGCAATTGGCTTTAACGCTTTAATTCAGTTTGAGCTGCAGCTCCTTGCCGTTTGGTCTTTCTTGATAAGCTGCAGGGTCTCTTGTTAACAAAAAGCGATACAGAAGAAGCAGATATCATATATTGCCTTTGATGCTCCATTGAATTCAGAATCGTAGTGAACAAGATGACGGTTCTGACAAGAGAAAGTTGTGAGCTGCTTTCCACCACTGCAGATTTGTGATCTAATGGCTTTGGAAGTTCAAACATCTTCACTTCCTGATAACATAGCAGGGTTTAGCCAAAAGAGAAGATCAAAACCTCAGAGCTACTTGATCAAATTAATGAGCCATGAATTCACTTTCATTTTTTATATATTTGGTCTCATGTTGTCTTTCATATTCTTTAAAATTATTGTTTTATTTTTTACAGTGTGAATGGAAGTAGGGTAACATTTAGACGACACAATGTGAAGGCTGTAGCTGCAGTAAACTGGATAACATTCCACAATACCAAACAACTAAAATGCTAAATCAAACATTTTTTTCACTACATTTGCATTTAGACTATTTTAAAGAGGATTTAATTTATAGATTAATGAAGAATTGGTTTTGATTTAACAAAAATAAATGTGTACCATAACATAATATTCCAATGTGCATATTTTTGTTAACCGTTATGTTTTTTTTTTTCAATTTTCTGAGTGATTTCTGTGGCAGATGCTCCAGGCCTTAGGCTGAACAAAGGTGGAAAAGGGGACGGAGCAAACCAGTGTGGAGACCTGCAAATTGGTTCATACCAATACTACTGATCATGGGGGGAAGCATCAGTTGTTTATGTTGGTTTTAGTCAGCTGTTGCATGTTTAACGCTTTTGTTGTGTTATTGTAAGCTGATCCGGTTCTATTTAGGTTTCTCTTTTGTCTCGTTAGATTTAATATTGCTAGTTCTTTTGAATAGAGTTCTGGTATTTTGACCTCTTTTATGGCCCCAAGAACTTTTTTTTTTGTTGATCATCTTTATTTTTTGAGGGTTAAATTAAAGCTTCATTTTTATTTATTGAACCTGTGCCTGAATGTCCTTTACTGCTCAGTTCATCGCAGACAAGATGTAATAATGTAAAATTCAGTCATTAAATTTGTATGTTTCTAATCTTTGTTATGGTGCATCATGTGTTACCGGCGGTTACGGGCCTCCACCAGCTCACTCAGCTGATCCTGAGCTGCCCTGAGCTCCTCCAGACTCTGCTGGTAGCTCAGATCCGCAGATCCTGACCTCTCCAGGAGGGAAACCTTGGTGGACAGCTCACTGGTTCGATCCCTCAGCCTCTGAATAGATGTGTACATGTTCTCTTCATCTTCCTCCTATAATTGCAGAGAGGATGGGGAGTGTGGCAGCGTCACAGATAGGTCAGTTTAGATTATACATGTAGCGTACCTGTACACTGAATGATTCAACCGGACAAATAAGGACCTCTAACTGAAACATTTTTGTTTTTTTTTAAAGTTGAATGTATTGATGTTACCAGCATATCATCTGACCAGGTTTAGCTTTTAGGGAGGAGTTTAAGGTATTTTTGCAGTAAAGTTTGTAGCATTAATCGTGGTCTGATATTTGACCACTGTGTAATTAGGGGTCTGTACCACCAGAGGGCGTCTGGCTCACTGGTGCATGTGGCAATCTTTACCACTGATCAGAGCTGAAAGCCACTTTCTACTGCATATTTCAAAGTAAATGCAATATTTCTTATCGCCTTGTATTTATACTTGATTATATTATTCATTCAAAATTTACTTTTTTAAATCTATTGTAGTTCTTATTTTTTTATAAATGTCTAAGTTCAAACATCACTGACTGTGTTATTAATGGGGGATAAGTGTAAAATATGCTCCCTCTGTCATATAGACTGTTTATCACTGTAATACATTTTTTCATATTCAGATGTGATTTAAGTCTGCAATCAATACCAGAACAGCTTCTCGTTAATCACAGCTAACATCAAAGTCTTTGTTCCATTTTTCCTTTCTTTGGAAACTGACTGACAGTGCAAAAGAAGGTTCAAACAAGAGCGGGCAAAAGCACCACCTACTTATCAGGAGGAGTTCAACTTGTAGCAATCTCTGTTAATTTCGCATTTAAAAAATTTTAAAACTCTGTCGTAAAGTTGTCTATTTCAGCAAAATAACTATCGTCAAGAAAAGACACTTGGAAAGCCTCTTACAAATATGGAGAAAATAAGCATCCTTTAAATGATTGAAGAAATATAACATTGAGAAATTTAAAGATTATCTGATACAGTAAAGTCATAAATTTGCATAGAAAACTAAGCCATTCACTGGGATTTTAAAAAGACATCCTCTGAACGCCTCAGACGGGATCTGCCTGCTTCACAACCTTATTATGTTGCAATAACTACACCTTGATAGAATAGGTTATTTCTTTTTTCGCTATTTCTATTGGCAGGTCTGTACCCAGTAGAAGTTGTCATACAGGAAAACACCCTGAATATACTGCTTACAATCTGAAAGATATCCAGAAGCACATCTCATAAATGTAACACTTAAATCTTAGAGGACTTTATGTTATAACTATCTGTATAGATATATAGACATAGATATTTATTCTGATAATTTTTATCCAGAATACATCATTTAAGTGGCTGCAATATTTTATTAAAGACACTTAAACCACTGCTGAAATGCTTTAGATCAAGCCTCAAACATCATTGAGGGAAAACCAGAGCCTACCTTTGCATTGACGATCTCGATGTGAACCAGAAGTGAGGCCAGTTCCAGCTCCTCACTGTAGCTGTTCTTCAGAGGAACACTCCTGTAACCTGCCCAACAGAGACATTACAGAACGAAGCTGTATTTTCATTCCAAATCTATTAGTCTTATGATGCACTGAGCTCACCTGTTCGCAGCAGACGGACTGGATAAGTGGCCTGTGCCAAGAAGTTGGGGTCACTGAACATATCCTCTTCGTAAACGGTGAAGCGCAGAAAGGAGAAAGTGGGGTTGTGGATGTCGAACACAAACTGCTTCTGCAGCCACACAGGATTCAGACCGTTATCAGCTAGGAGGGCCGAGAAGAGGAGTAGGTTAACGTGCGGCCAGTGCACCAAATTAAGACGGTTAAAAAAATAATAAACAGGTAGCAGCCGCCTCACCCACGACGTCGGTCTTGTATTTGAAACTGTCGTAGTCAGCTCCACAGATCTCCACCTCTACGAAAGGACAAACGATGCTGCGGCCATTTTTTGGCAGATGACGGGCACCCAGTACCTGATTAACACAGGAAGTAGATAAATGTAGATTTTAATTCTTTTTTGTCTGCTTTTAAACAAAAAAAAATCATCCTTCTGAATCTGTCCATCATCATTCCTATTTGTCAGACTGACCTGTAGCTGGATGGTGATTGGCTCAACATGCAGTGTGTCCTTATCGAAAGGATCAAAGGCGTCATCCCTCATGATGTCAGGTTGAGGAACGAAGCCACTGCTGCCTCCAAGCATGAACAAGGCCTGGTTCAGCTGCATGGGTTTATCTGCAAAAAAAAAATAAAAAATTTAAGAACCAATTTAGTTTTTAGCAGGATATTTTTTTTCCTGAAATAAAATGAAGATGCATACCCGGAGTTTGGAAATTGAGAGCGACGAGCTGGGAGCCGCAGAGCCACATGGGCAGCGGATCATAGTTGGACGAATCCAATCTCTGGCCTCTTGGATAAACTCTAGAGAGCTGCCGACGGTTGTACTGTAAGAAGCGCTTCCCTCGGGCACGGGTCGCAAACTTCTCTGCTTTAGTCTCCGGAAAGGAAGACATGTCTCTGTAACAGGCGCGCTCTGTCCCGATCTCTGCAAGCAGCACAACAAACGGGGACTGAGACACAAAACAATCCAAAAATCCAACTGTGAAAAAGTAAAGTAGTAAGCTTTGATGCTCACTGTCTTCGTTGAAAGGCACCGGCCTGCAGTAAACAACAAGGTCAGACAGCTCCACAGCGATCTTCTTCCTCCTCTCCATTTGTTTCTCCTCCTGCATCTGTTGCCGTACAGCACATTCATACAGCAATGTCAAAATGAAATAAACATCACATAATGCTCTCAAATGCCATGGGTAAAAAGAATACTACAATCCTTGAAACATGACATTGTAAAATAAGTTGCAGACGATGTCTCCCAACAGCTTTGGATATGCAGAGATTTCTGTTTTATTTTCTTTTAAGCCTAGGCTCAGCCAGATTTAACAGATCTTAGAACAGATCTGAGCTTGGTTTTAGATGTGTTTGAGTGGGTCTGTCTAAGACATCAATGTCCCTTAAATTAAACTATTTTCTTGCAGCTGGGACTAAAATTGGTCATTTTCCTAATGGAAGCTGATCTTCCACCTCAGACTCAGGTCTTTTTTTAGTCTCTATGAGGTTTTCCTTATGAATTTTCCTATATGTAGATTTATCCATCTTCTATTAACACTGACCTGCTTCCCTGTCCCTGCAGAAGAAAAACACTACCACTGAATAATGCTGCTGCTGACATTTTTCATTATGTCTGGAGTGACGTGTAGTCTTGGTTTTCCACCTAAGACAGTGACAGATAAGGCTTGTTTAAAGCTGGTGTCCCCTACAGCAGCGGTCCCCAACCTTTTTTGCACCACGGACCGCTATATGTGAGACAATATTTTCACAGACCGGCCGGGGAAGGAGGTTGATACGATCAAGTAAAATGATCAAATCAAATACTAACAGCATAAAAATAAAACAACAAGCCGGTCCCATCTAGGCGTAATCGGAGAAAATGACACACGAATTGTGCTCCTGATGTCCAGTCTGCTCCGTAGCTTTGTTTTGGTTGCTGTAACTGCAGAAAATCCCGCTTCACAAAGATAGGATGTTATAGATAGGATGAGTCTTGAACTGAATTAACCTGTGTCAAGTGGCACAGATGCACCGACTGATGTAATTGGGAGAGAATACCGCAATTTTTTTATTTTTTTCAAAATAAAACATCACTCAGACTCTGATCGTCGATAAATATTATATATATATATACATATACTTTTTTCTGTGCGGCCCGGTACCGGTCCGCGGCCCGGTGGTTGGGGACCGCTGCCCTACAGAACAACTGCCCTAACTTGGACCCCTTGTGGATTTCTTTGAAAATGACTGTCTACTGTCCAATTAATAAGTTCCTATCTGTGGTTTGCACAACTATTAGTAATTAATAATTTTAGCAGCTTATCCAGATTTATGATAGGCCTTTTTGTTGCTTCTCTACTTAATACTCTTATTGGTAACCCTGTTAAGTTTAGGAAGTTTTGGTAGGTTTGCTTTGCTGCTACAATTTCTAGTTTTTACCTGATGATTTTAAGAGAGCTCGTATATTTTCAAAATCTTGCAATGTTGTTTTAAACTCTAACCTCTAACTTTTATGTTACTTTATCCTGTTCATGTCTGTTCCTTGGTCTTCATGATGCTGTTTTATTAATAATGTCATTCCAAATAAAGAAAAATAAAAACAATCCATTGGACTTTGTTTCCGAGTTTGAAAACATTTGTCTTCCCATCCAAATGTCAGGAATTGAAATTTTGAATTGAAAAAAGCTTCCTGGATGGGAAGCAAAAGGTCTTCAAACTTGGAAACAAAGTCCAGTGGATTGTTTTTATTTTTCTTTATTTGGAATTACATTATTAATAAAACAGCATCATCACTGGTTGTTATTTTGGGGTTGATTAAAGTCCATATTTAATTTTCCTTCCATTTTAAATGAACAATTCGACTTTGTATTTGTCAATTCCCTAAAATTACAATGAAATACAGCAAAGTTTGTGAGTGTAATTTAAAAAACTAAATATGATTTTAAGACAGCAATCTACAGCGTAGACATTGCTCTGCTACATGTTTCAAAACCTCAGTATTAAGGACTTTTTCTGTGTGTGTTGTGCAGCGTTGCACTGACCCGTGCATCAGCGTTCTGTGCAGCTTCTCGGATTTTGCTGACCCAGGCGGTAAGATCTTCCAAACTGTCAGCACCCACGTCCAGACTCTGGACCGGATGAGAGCTCAGGTGCTGGGAGTGAATGGTAAACACGAAGGGGCGAGAGTTTTTCCCATCTTTATGCACAGCTGGAGGGAAGGATGGAAACAGGCGTAAGATCCAAGAACAGCTGGTTGCATGTCAGTGAAATATAGAAATCTTCCTAAAACAGTAACATAAGCATAAACAAATCTATGGTTTGGTCCTGTTATGAAAGTAAACTGAAGGTGTGACAGATTTGCAAAAGAGTTTTTTTTTTTTTTTCTTCTGTCCTATGAAACCCTGCTGATGATGTTGTTTGCTTAGAATAAGCTGAACCATCAGAAGAAAAAAACAACATATTTGGGAGTCATAAGTTCTGCTTGATAAGTCAGGATTAAGGAAACAACAATACAATGCCTGGCTTAACGGATAGCAGAGATACTTAGCAATTTTTTTGTTTTATTTTGAAACACTTTTTTCACATTTAAGCGGACAAATTCTTTTCCTTTTTTTTGAAACACTTTTTTCACATTTAAGCAGACAAATTGTTTTCCTTTATTTTGAAACACTTTTTTCATATTTAAGCAGGCTATTTCAATAAACAGACCACAGCATGCTGGCTTGTTTACAGCTGGTTCTCAAGCTGCTTGAACATACTGTATTATGTCCGCATTCCTATATATATATACATTATATGTACATTATTTATCTTTATTTAAGTTTTGAAGAGTTATAGCTGTTTTTATTTCTTTTGATATTTGCATTTTTCATTGTAAAATTCTTACTCTTGTGTTTTTAGGTAGACAATTTTAAGGATCTGTCCAGGGACAACAGATGAAAAATAGCATTTTAGCTAATTCTGTTGCATTTGCAGGAATGCTCATTAATGTACACTGTCCCTGTCAAATAAAATAAATAGATATAAAATACAAATTAAAATTCCTGAGTGTTTGCAGTCTGTCTTTGATGGGCTTCTCTTTTTGTGTTAAATATTGCGGTTAACTGTAGGAAACCCTTAGCAAAAAGTAGTATACTTGGAGTAGAAAGTATACTGAACAATGAACTTTTAGTGTACTTGAAGTATTACTAAATTGGGACATTTTTAAGTTTACTTAAGTATACCTAAAGTATACTTTGGAAAGTAAACAATAGTATAGTCAAGTACACTTGACTATACTATTGTTGAGTATATGAAATATAGTTTACAATAAGTAAACTCTAAGAGCACTGCCTGATTTTAAGTATGAAATTAGTGCACTTTTTTTATACTTGAATAAACTACTTTTTGCTAAGGAAAGAATAGGATATTCCTAAATGGCAAAGATCAGAACTGCTTGGTGGGATAAAATTGTGAACAAAAAATATATCTTATAAACACGCATGCATTATTATTTATGATAATCTAATTTAAGTCTGACAATGAAAGAAGTATTTACGACATGATACTTAAGTCAGGCTACTTTTAAGAATCAATCTTGTTTTTCGGTGAGGAAGCACCTTATGCTGCTGCTAAATTACCCTCATGTTAAAATGCTCATTATATCACTAGCTTATTTTTAAACACAACTGTCTACTTGAGCTAAAACCTTAATGTGTTTCTCTCTGTAATTAACACACTCAGGACTGGAAATATGCTTTCAAACCTGGTGAGATCCTTTTCAAAGACTCTAATCTAATCTAAATAGATCGTGACACCAGAGCGAGAATAATAATTTCATTTTGCATGTTCATTTGCAGTTATAAATATGAGGTTTTGTTTAAACTGAAAATGATGTGCTGATATTGATATGAAGTTATTATTTCACAACCAGGATATATGAATTAATTTAATTTCGTTCTCCTTTTTTTTTTGTGGCAGCAGATCATTGTTGCTGACTGAAATGTCTACAAAGACAGTATAAAATATGCTTTGACTTTAAAATAATGAATTGTAAAGTATAGTATACTTGTATTACTCCAAACAAAATTCCACCTATCATACATCGATTAACTCTCTGATTAGCTTTCAATCTCATTGCATTCGTTAAACTAAAAAAAAAGCCTAACATATAAAAAGGCTTTCTTACCAACATGGCAGGTGGGAACATCAATGAAGCCTTTTAGAAAGTTACCCAGAGGACTGTTCTCTGTAGACTGATGCAAAATAAAAAAGAAGCCATAAACAGTTATAAAGAAGCTTGAAGAGTTTCAGTGCAGCTCAGTTCAAATTCACACTCACCACTTCATCCAGTTCTCTGGTAGGAGAGCAGGACACCTCCTCCACATAGTTCGCAGGGAACCACAGCTGCTTCTTTCCCCCATAGTCGCCTCTCCACCTGGATGCAGCGTGCAAACACATGGTTAACAGGCTTTTATAAAAAAAAAAAAAAAGTAACCTAGAAGAAGCTGCATAGGTGAGCACTCACCAGCCCCCCTCCTGCTTGTCCACGTTTTGGATAAGTGCTTGTTTGGGGAAGCAAAGCTCATCTTCTCTTTGAGCTCGGTAGTCGTACAGAGCTTTGACAGTACACTAAAATGTAAAGGCCAAATATACAACGTAACTTAAGAGAGTCGTTACCGCTTTTTTATTGACTTGACAATGAATTCGTTAAGGATGATTTTAAAGATATTCCATTCAAGTTGTGCTGCTTCAGACGAATGTGTTAGGATTACCTTAACCTGGTAATAAAAACATCATTTTTAGCATTTGTAACTGATTCTCTTGTAAACAAAACAAACACTACTGGGTGGATATTTCTTTAAGTTTGTTTTACATGTTATCTTGATGTTTAGTTTAATAAACCTTATTTAAATATAGGTAATTAAAAGCTTTCTGCTGAAGATTGAGCTTTGCTGGGTGTTTTCATTTTAATTAGGGGTAGTGGAGAAGAAAAACGCATAAATATGCAGGACAGAAGACTTTCAAGGGTCAATGAAGAGGACCAGAGGGCGAACTCACCCGGGCTGTGGGCATCTTATTGGCCTCCACATAAAAATGAGGAGTTCTGACCTCATACAGGGCTCCATAGTCAAGCTCCTGAAAAGAAACATCAGAAAAAAACTCATCTTAACACATAGTCTAAACATGGAAGACCATCTACCACTACATACCATCTAGTTTTAATTTTCATAGTTTTCTCTTAAAATAAGCAAATATGAATTTATAAAAAAGCATTTTTCTTAAACAAAAAAAATAATAATAATAAGAGCCAGAGAAGCAAAAAGAGATCTATTACTAAACCAGTTTAGTTATTGAACCACTTTAGGTCATAAAGCCTCACCACAGAACATAACTTGTGTGAAGGCAGCAATATAAAGAAAAATAATACAGACTGGGTTCAACTGAGAAAAGTACTACTGTACCTCTTCAACTGAGCATTATAGGTGAGGTTGAAATAAAATGTAAATGTTCTGTGTTCTTGGATTAATTATGCCTAACATCAAAGCCATTATTTTTCTTGCATGCTAATGTTTTTGCATTTAACAAACACATACCACAAAACTGTAAAACTGACTAAGTTGGTAAATTATTTGGCAAAAAGAAAATGTAAAGAGTGTGGAGCCAAAGGGCTCACCCCTGGGGAACACCTTATCCCACTATGAAATATCTCCTCATTTTGTTGTAGATTCAAGAATTCTAATAAATCATAAGCTTGACAGCTTATTGAATCTTTAGGTTTAAATAATGCAAAACAATGTTATTGCTTTCTTAAAAAGTTCTATAAATAAAAAATTTATTTAAAATAGGTCTCAAATCTGAAAAACCTTCAAGATAATTTAAATATTGATATTAATTCAATAGATTTTTTTTTTTAGCTATGTCTTACTCACCATGGTGCCCATGCGGTCCAGAGTGTCTTCATTTATGGGGTAGCGCAGCTTCATTTTACGGTACAGTGGATGTTTCTCATAATAACTGACTAGATCCACCAAACTCTCAAACTCTGCTGATCCCCCCAACATGAAGAGACGACCTTCCTGCTGGATGCGACAGTGTTTGATCTTACCCTCCGCCCTGCAAACCAGTGGACAATTATATGTATATGAACCCTCAGAATAAATCAACACTTTTTTATTTGGAATACTGTCCATACAAATATTGAGTTCAACTCATACCTAAAGGAGATGGCATAGGAGTTGTGCTCACTGCGTTTTCGCACCAGAAAAGCTCCATCTCGTGGAACACGCATCAGCATGTGTTCAGCCTGAACACGAGACAGATTGGAGTGATACCATCTGGATAAAAAAAACCAAACAGAGATATCTCCATCAGTTTCAGTTCACTGTTGTCAGCATTTACTGATGAATAAAGTTTTATCATTAAATAATTTTGCTTACTTACATTCATTAACAATATTGCTGCTAAAGTTAATATTCTTATTGAAGTGATCTTCTTAAGGTAAACAAGTAAACAGAAACCTAAAATAATAAAGATCTAAAATAGATGAAGATCTATTTTATTTTGGTAATTATCTAATATAAAGCAGTTTTATTAATATTAGTAAAATGTTTGAAAACTTTAATCTGAATCTAAAACCACTCTAAAGTCTCTTTCCCACTGAAAATAGCGCATTAAACCGGGTTTTTTAAACCCACTAACAATCGGTATTTGGCTCCCTTCCCATTGGCAAAACAAGTCATGGCTGATAAAAAGGAGTTTGTGGCGAAGGCACCGTGTAAAATCCTCCATTGGAGATCACTAGTGAGCCAGCGATTTAAATGTTAAATGAGAAAATGCAAGACTTTCGAAAAGTAAAACTACATTTTTTTTTTGGTTTGCAAACGCATCCTTTCAGTTTGCAAAACTGTATAATAGTTGCATTAACTGGGAGTAAATATTTTCTCCACTGTTGATGTTTTTTTGGTTCGAGTCACTCACTCTCTGCTCTCGTGTGCGTTGGGTTGAGGCACAGGGTTCCCCAGCCTCATTTCAAACTCATTGCAGCGCAGCGGTGTTTCTCTATAGTGGCAGATGAGTCGGTAGAGGCTGTCAAACACAAGGTTGTCTGTCAGGTAGAAACGGGTGGAGCCAGACTCTTGACGCGAGTGGATCCTGCAGTGCTGCACCCGACCAGAGCGCCTTGAACAGAAAGAAAAGTCATCTCTTATGGTGTAGTTTACAGGGAAGGGAAGATGAAAATGTTCTCATTGGCGGTTTTTATACGATGCCGATGATTAGACAACTTAAGTTGCCATTGCATCAAGTTAACAGAGAAATGAAACCTACCAGAAAGACAGAGTGTAGTCTCCGACAAACGTCTCACTCTCTCGCACCAGGAAGGTGCCGTCTTTCCCCCCTCCTTCACAGTAGTCCTGGAGCAGCTTCTCTGCAACCTGCCGACCATCACGGCCTCCTCCCAGCTTCCCATGAAACCATCGCTCTGCACAGTGCTGCTCATTGTTGTTACACTCCTGATGAATAATACAAGAGGAAAAACGTTTAAAGATACAGCATTAAAACAGCATAAATGTTTCTTTTTAGTCTGTTAGTCTGTTTATTTTATAAGAGAGCTGGATTGCTAGCCAAGAAAGTTATGTGACATTATAGTAAAGATGTAAAATATCTTCTTACCTCCTTTCCTTCATCATCCTCCTCTTCATCAGTCGTCTGGTAGTGAGATGTCTCTTCTGAGTAGTAAATTTTATTGCTGGTCAAAACGAAATAATGCGGCGTCCACATCTGAAAAATCACATAAACGCCCTTTAGAATCAAAGCGTTCAGAAATATACATATTTTAAGGAGTGACTGCAGTGGAAAACTAAAAATATGCAAAGCAGAGTATAAGAAATGATCAGAATTCACAAACTTAAAGGGGTTTTTCATATATTTATAATTAAACACAAGATGTAATATTTTTGTTATTTTTCTAGATTAAAGTTTGCGTAATTTTTTTGGTTTTTATTAAGGTTTCTGTATAAAATTTTGCCAATCAGGCCAAAGGGATCTGTTGCATGAGAGGGTTGTGGGTTCGAGCCCCGGCTTCGGCTTTGCCTGTGTACTGCATCCTAGCTTCTGTCAGTGACATCATCATTGTGCGAGGAAGTACAAATGGGTGAATGACTGAATGTAGTGTTTAATGTTTCGTTCAAGTGTCCTAACTTGAAAAAATCAGAATATAAGTTTAGTCCATTTACTATTTACACTCAGCGCTTGCTTTCTTTTGGAATAGCAGCCAGTGAAATTTGAACTTTTGATTCCCAACTTTTTTTTTTTTTTACATCCAAAATCCTAATTTTCACCTTATATTTGTGTCTAAATGCTTTTTTTCTGAAGCTACGTGAGGTGAAAAAATAAACAAACATAGGAATAAATGAAAAACATGTTTACACTAAAGAAATCAGACGACTTTCAAAGGGAATTGTATGTTTTTTCATTTCTTTTTCTTTGTAAAACTTCCATGGTTTTTCTGTTTGCGTTCCCAAAGTATACAAACTTTTGTCATGTTTGTTATTTCATACATAGATAATAATTCATGATACTACTACAAATGTGGTACCCTAAATGTTTCTGGAATAAAATCACAGAAGGCAGAAACACTCACATGGTCGATGGGGTCCTCCAGGTAAAGGATGCCGTTCTTCAGCGAGTTGCTGATGTCATTTTCAGAGTAGCTAGCTGAAGCCACCTCTTCATAGACGGTTCCTTCAACCAGCTTTTTGTGCTGCAATACGACAGGCAGACCATCTTATTTCTGTTAAAAGGTTTCTTGATTGATTTTAAAAGTCTGTTTCCACCTAAAATTTACTCTAATCTTTATACTTTATTTACTCACAAATCTTCCATGTTAAACAAGCATCAAACGCTTGTCAATATGTCACCTTAATGAGGATCTTCCTGCGGAGCTGGTAGGGTGAGGGGAGCTCGTCTGCATTATTGTCAACCGGCTTGGTGAGAAGCAGCTCTCCAAACACCTTCTTGAAGTGCGTGGCCATGTTCCTCTGCTGGACCACGCTGCAGTGGTCCTCAATGGACAGTATCACAGGATACCTAAGCAGGTATAATGGTAGAAAAGGTAAACTTGGCTGTCATTTTTGCAGACGGATGTATAAAATGGGTTAGTAGAACTCACTCGGATGTGACAAAGGCATGTTCTTTAATGGTGTGCAGCACATCCAGGAATTTGATCTTTGAGGTTAGAGTGTGACCATGGTAGATGATTGGCAGATCATCTGGTCCATCCCAGCAGTCCACTGAGAACAAAAAATATAAAAGACATTAACATCAGTTCTTAACCATAAAGGTTGTGTGATATAAGCGATTTAAAGAGGAGTGTGTTACGTTCAATGCAGCGGCAGCCCATCCTCAGACAGCGAGCGTAGGCTTCTAGAGATGATTCACTGGAAAACTGGTCACCTGTAAGGTACCTTAAAAACCAGGATGGAAGAATATATGGCATTACAGATAAAACTGAAAACACAGTAAAAACAACAAACAAATAAATGATTGTTTATGAACCCCAGAAAAAAAAGCTGCATGTTATGAGACGCTTAAATGAATGCATCAATAATTAGCTCGGAAAAGTTTTCCATCTCTTATGATACATTCTACTTGGTACTGTCTGTTCATTGCATCTGAAATGCATTTAGTCAAACTCAGCTCAATGTTTTTAAAATGCTGCTGGAAAACTGTTAGTTTAACCAAACTGAACGGTTGGTTCAGATAGATTTCTGATTTAATTTTGGTAAACACTCTACTATAAACTTTAATTTTAATATATTTGAAACATATTCAGTAAAACTCCTTTCAAATGTGTAATTATTTATCAGATTGTGCTAAAATAAACTCTAAATTTAAATAGCTAAATTATAATTAATATTTAGAACTGTCATATATTTAGATTTAATATATTTTGAAGCATATTTAGTAAAAATCAGCACAAATCAATCATTGACAAAATGATTTTAGCTCTGGTTGCCTAAACAGTCGGTGCTTCTAGATAAGGGGTTACCAACCTTTTTAATGCTGGCGTCTACTTCCTTGGTGCTGAGTCATAGGAAGGGCTACCAATACAGACCTATGAACTGTAGGGGTCAGCTTTCATCTAAACTTCATATAAAATAAATACATTTTTATTGTTTCTATTAATTTCAAATTTTCTTTAAGATATTTTCATTTTGAAATCTTTAAAAATGCTTACGTTTTAGATTTGTTCTGTTTTCAGAAGACAATGAGGGAGCCCCATCTGATCCTTGAGGGCCCTTTGGTAGCCCCTGATCTTGAGTAAAATGCTTAATAATCATTTCTGAAGTCAAAATTATCTTACCTATCATGTTATTTTCTTAACTTAAAAGTACATTTTATATATTTCAAAGATAAATAGTAAGAGGCAGTATAAGCCCAAATGGCAGTATGGAAGTGTTAGCTTTATCAAGCTAAATGGGACTTTTTTATTTTCTTAAACTACATTTTCTTCACTATTGCAATATATTTAACGTTATGGGGTGTATTTGTAATTGATTTAAAACATGTTAAATGAAGTACATAAGAATCTTTACATATTTATAACACATTTATCAGGGTCAACAGCAGCAGACGTCCATCCTGAAATAGGAGGGCAGTAGGTCGTCGGTTCAAACCCCTGCTCAGTCCGTCTCAGTCATGTCCTTTATAGTCCAGAAACTTCTGTACTTTTCCTACAGATTTCATTTCATTTTAATGTGTATTTAAAGACATTTCAATTAGTGGAAAAAAATGCATTGGGGAATATTAAAAAAAAAGTCAAATCAACCAAAACTTTCACAACCCAGATGCAGTACCTCTGTGAACCCTCTAGGGGTCCCGGACCCCCTTTTGAAGACCTCCGTGTGAAAGGATTAATGACTGAATGTACTGTGAAGTCCTTTTGAGTCCACTGACTTGAACAGGTGTAATATTGATCAGCCCTTTGGGTTTCCTCCATGCAAACTCCTCACATGTATTTCATTTTAATTAGATCAATAAAATGCTTGACTGATTCATTATTAGGGGTTAAAGGCCTGTTTATTGTAGAACTATGACCTGAAAGTGTCTGCTGTCTTCTCGTGGTGATCTATAGCCCAGTATAACTCATTAATAACTGATCCTTTATGATGTAAACTTGTATGTTTTGTTTAGTTAAAACAATGGTTCACAATCCAGGTTAGAAGCTCTTTATCTGAACAGTAAAAGTAAAAAAATCTACTTAAAATGATCATACAGTGTTAAAATACATTGTTAAAGACAAGTCATTTTTTTTAAAGAAAATAACTTGACCAACTTCAAGAACAGCGGTCACTTTAAAACACAAAGAAAAAGGTTTTAATCAAGAACTTTGGACAAGTTTAACCTTTTATAACCATTTCAGTTAAAAATACTCTAAAAAAATCATGTGTAAAATAAAAACTGGCCTTAAAAGTATACTCTACCAAATCTCTACCATTTAGGATTTATTTGCACAAATGATTTATGGGGGAGTTACTGGATTTGGATATCTTACGTGTTGTGTGAGGAGGAGATCCAGTACTGTGAAAGCGGTCTTTTCATGTCATCGGGGACAACAGGTGAAAGTCGAGGGTCAGACAAAGAGTTTTCTTTTGAGAACAGGAAGGTCAGGAACTAAATAAAAAAGACAGAAACAAATGTATAGTAAGACGGAGAGCCTCTTTTAATACTTATTTCTGTGCAGATCATAAATGTATCACCTCGTCCAGCTGCAGCATTGGCTCAGGCTGAGGTCCTCCCCTCATGTAGCTCATGAGAAATTCCCGAACTCGACTCAGATCTGATGCCCAAGATTCCTGAAACAAGCCCCAAAAAAAAATCTAGGTGAGGTCAAAGCAGGTTTAAGGGGTTTATTTGTGTTGTGGTGACATGCAGTGTACCTTCTGGTCCATCTGTAAAAACTTCTGGAAGTCGTAGAGGGAGATTTGACAAAGCTCTGGTCGGTCCACATTTCTGAGAATACAACTTTAAGATGTTAAATCCCAGAGAAGTGAAAGCTCAATAAAAATCAGTTTCAGCTCTGAGAGATAAGAAATGTGATAAATTATTTTCTCCTTTCCTCAGGCCAAATCTAATTCTGCCAATTTCTCTGTAATGCCTCCTAACATTATCAAGCAAGAAGATAAACATCTTTGAACCATTAAGTAAAACATGAAATATAGAATAATATCAGAGTTATAGTAAGGACTGATAAAACAGGAAGACTGGCAACAGTGGGGTGTGAAGGAAGAGGAGGATAAGGAGGTGAAGGTAGAGGGACTCACCGCAGGGGAAAGGACAGCTCCAGCTGCTCAATTATCTGAGGAAGAGGAGGGGAAGAACCAGGTGATGGACAGGTGGGAGGGGGTCAGGTGAAGCATAAACAGCAGAGGACAAAGTGATTGTGGTGTATTGCGAGTGCAAACGTGGGGAATATTAAAGCAATGGTGTAAAACTTAATAAATAAGGGATTATATTTTAGTCCGTTCATTCCACTTTAAATCAACATTAAGCTCTAGTCAGTTTCTGCCCTTTAGTGCCATTTCATGCAACTGCTTTCCAAATTTTAGCAAACTGTGTTTATTGCTTTTATTTACTAAGTTGTACTATAAAGACAAAGTTGAATTTGAATTACTCTCAGACTTACACTCTTCTGTGCGTCAAACATAAGCGTCCTGTAGAGCTGTGCAAAGTTGGGGTACAATAAATCACTCTTTGCCTCTACCTCCTGCAGAAACCCAGGAAACAGGAGTCATTATCATACAAATATAAAGCTGGCGGAAATCTAAAGAGATCGATGTGTAGAGAAAAAAAAAAATCATAGAGCATCTAGCCTGCAGTTTGTCTTTGAGAAAGCGCATGTTGGGGACTCTGTAGTTGATCTGAGGCAGAAGGGCTTTGACATCTTTCAATGTGATGCTGCAGAGGAAACAAAAGCAGGTAAGAATCAGATAAAATATGAAACAATCATTAATAATTTGCCAAGACATTGTAGAAAAGGAAGTTTGATTTGCTCTATTTTCAGTTCATGAGCCTTTAGGGGCCTTTTGTTCTGCTCTGCTCTCTTAAGGTTCAACCACAGCATTTTAATCAGGCGGTTATTTTGACCGGCCTCTTTGCAGCACATTGATGCCTTTAAAGACATTGTTTAGTGAATTTACTCTCCTGTTTGGATCACTGCTTTGTCGACGACTCAGTTTGGCCAAGCTACAGTCATCAGACAGAAAACCACACATTTAATGATATGGAGAAGAGTTTATTAAACCAGTGATTCCCAACCAGTGGTACTAGAACCCCTGGTGGTGCAACAATGCATTGCAGAGGTAATATTTTACTTCCCAGAAAAAGAAAAATAATTAAATAGGCCTGGGACACAAGTACAAAATAAAGCAAGATTTTATTAACCAAATATCAATCAGTTTTTACGAAAGACACAAACAACATCCCCCTGCTGGGAATTGAGGATGTCAGGTGTTTCATTAACACAGTGAATAATCAAAATAAAGTTTAAAAAAAAGATAGTAAATCCTAGTATTATTTAGTTAATTTTTTTTTTTTTTGGTTTTTCAAGTTTAGATATGTCTAAAGGAGACTTATTCAGAAAAGTTAGTTTTTTATTTCTTAAAAACCATAGATTTGTAACTTAATTTGACTTTGCATTTATTTCAGTACTTTACCTCATTTTTCAGATAACATATTTATGTTTTTTTAATTCTAATTGAAAAGAATGAAATTACTGAGTATTAAATGTTAAAGTTACGGAAATTAAATAAATGATTTTCATTTTATAATAGGTACCACTTTCTATTTTTGTAAAATATAATGTTTGACCAAGGGGGTTTGGGGGGGTTGGGGTACTAATGGTATGATAAAATGGGTTAACAGATCAAAAAAGGTTTGGAACCACAGTGTTAAGCAACTCATTAAAAACAGTGCTGGTTGACCTCATTGATACAGATTAAGATTTCTCTATCGCTTTTTTTCCCAACATGGTGATGTGCTTTATGATTAAACATATTAAATGAGTCCTCTCTAATCTGCATAAGGGATGCTTTTCAAAAAAATGTATCTAGAAGGATTTACAAACCAAATGTACTTTCTCATACCTTGCCATTTGATATAAAGGCTGTAAGTTGTGAAGTCTCTTTTTTATTTTGCCTGAATTTTTGAGCATTTCACATCCATGACCTTTTGACCTTTGAGCATTTTTCATCCATGACAAAAAATCCTTTGCTGCCATCCTATGTGATTTACAATTTAGAATAACTTCTACAGAAAGAGATGTTTCCAAATTGGTCCCTTTAAAAACTCTTTTACTCCAAGGCCAATGTTGTGCAACATTTAGATGAAAGATTCTTCTAACACACATGGATTTAAAGAATGGCTTAAGAAAGAAGTTTTGCAGATTGTGATGAAGAAAGGGTGAAGAAAAAACATTTTAGTGAAAGGCTTGATGTAATTCTGCCATTTGATTCAGGGACTGCATCTAACAGATGGAAATTAGTGCTTCTCATGACTCCTGCTTTTAGAAATGCTTTTCTGGACTGTTTCCCTCATGTTATAAAATATCTTTACAAAACAAACAGGATTATTGGAGGATATCTGTAGGTTCATATGCTGCAGTTAGCAAAAAAAATGAAATTTACAGAGGAATGGCGCATGGATAATCATTTGGTGATTCATTAAACATATGGAAATGCACTACCAGGAAGAGAAAGGAAGTTTGAAAAAACAGGTGGCGAAAAATTATCGCAGTTCTTTGAAGCCTAGAGAATCTTCCAAGGTCATCGACCTGCATCTCTGCACAGTTTGATTCAGGCCGCCTCCCATTGCACAGACTCTGGCTACTGTTTCTATTTTCACAGGGGGCAGGAAGCAGCCCTCTCCCAGGCCATTGCATCATTTCCTGTTTCTTATCAAGCAGTGACAGGCTGTTTGCCCTGGAGAGGTTTACCCTGAAACAGAAGCTTGAAGTCCTAAAGTTCTCTGATCCCCGAATCTGGTGCAACCTGTTAAAAGGCTGCAGCCAACCAGCAAACATCATCGCTGGCTTGTAGAGCTGTGACTGGGTGTTGACATGTTTGTAGTGAACTACTCACCTGCCTTCATGATTCCTGTCCATGACTTCAAACTGTTTCCTGAGCCACCTGCAGGGACACAGGAAGAATATTAAGAGAAAAGAGAAATAGGGAAAATGAAAACTGATTAAAGTTCAAACTTATTACAGAAAAATAAGACGTAAGAAATGCATCAATCAAATTAGAGGATAAGCAGCACTGGAAAAATAGATAACTGTACCAGATCTTTTCAAAGCGTTATTCTTTTATTAAATACATTTACATGTAAAGATTTATTATTTGGTCTAATTTAATGACTAATGTAAAAACATATTTGAGTGCACTCAAATATGAGTGCTAAATGAACAGGAAAAAGAACAAAATATAAACATAGTAACTAAACATACACTATATAAATTATATATATATATATATATATATATATATATATATATATATATATATATATATATATATATATATAGCTGTGTGTGTCTCTGTAAACTTTAGTTATACGTCAAATTGTATCATAACATCAATTATGATAAGTGCATTGAACAAAAATAGATTTTATTAAGACAGTCCCCAAAATGAGTCTGTTTCTATTAAACCCTTAACCTCAGGTATAATAATGGAAACTTTAATCACGCATCATGTAAAGTTTACTCAGTGAATGTATGCATTATTTATAAGTGCATCTGGCTACAAAAGTGGCTTTAGATGCAAACTCAACAACGTTAAAATGGGCCAAAATCAAACTAATGCTGTCAGCAAAATAATAATAATGCAAAATAACACACAGACAAAATGCTCATCCATGTGTGATTATATGTGAAATGGTATGGTGTGTTTAGTAGTTTAAAAAGACGTTAGGTGAATTTGTCTTTTCTACTGGCCCATCAGTGGCTCATAAGTGTTGTTTTATATGCCTCAACATACATGGAGCTAATACTGCAGGGCAGATAGTGTGGTAGATATTACATTATGGCGTAAATATCGGTAAGCAGAGACAGCAGTTATTTAGGGGGCCACGACCTCTTAGGGGCCCCATCACTGACACCTGGTAGGCCCCCTACACAATTGTAGACTAGGACGTCTCTTTGCAGATGTTACTATGTGAATAACTTTGTATAGTTCATTAGACAGTTGGTAAAAAATACACTCAAACAGCAATAAACATCTTAAAAGAACGATGTATTTGAGTGTTTTCGTTTTTACACTATGACTTGGAATTATGGGTAATCCAGAGCATCAATTAAAACCATAACCTCTACGTACAATGTGTTAGCGGCGATGGATACCAAAAAGAGGTACTTAAGCGGTTTCTAGAAAAGGAAGCACTTGGGATGTCTGTAACATGCCGTGGTGCGCTGTCACCAATGGTTCCATTCAAGGTGCGCAGTCACTATTTTTTCATGTGTGAGGTGTGATCATATACTACTGAGAATTGCATAATTGTATCTTCTTGGCCGATTAATAGAACTGTCGCCATATCCTGAACCTTGATCACGTGTTGTACTTCATATGGGGCCCACCCAGATAATGTTGCTTATGGGCCTATTGTTGTGTCGTTAAGCCATTGATATTAACATGTGGTGATATTTTCTTGGCACACACTAGGTACTCTTCCTGCAGCAGGAATTAGAGACTAGCAAAAGTTAAAAAACAGCACTAGTTATATTACCCTGGTTTTATCCTCTGCTTGGCCCCTTTCTAAGAGTGCTTTTTTGACATTATTTGATTGCCATTTTTACCTTTTAATACAATGTACCTGCCTTTCAGTTACTGTAGAAAGCTATTTCTTCTGGACGCTCATATGTCCGCTTGTATTTTCTTTTTTTTCTCAGGGAAATCTTATACTGTCTACACTTAGAAATGTAAAGTCAGTTTCAATACATGGAGAAAAACTTTATATGATAAGCCCTCTACTGTACTTGTGTATTAACTAACAGCCAATTTCAGTTACAAAGTAACAAAGTACTACGGCACAAGGCTACCTGCTGAGCCCTGGCTTATTTGTGATTGCAATTGAACCTCTGGCTCAATAAATTTGTTTTCATACGGCCATTCATGGTATTAATATGGGCAGCAGTCATCACTAGCTTCTTTTGTATGCAGATTATATTTTTGTCCTTCTAACTAAACCTAAAGAATCTGTGCCCATTTTATTAGATTGTATTGAATATTTTACATTGGTGTCTGAATACAAAGTAAATTGGGATAAGTCTAAAGCTAAGCTCATGTCTGAACACTGCCTCTCCTCTTTATTCAACAAATGGAGATTATGTTTGTCTCCCAAAAGTATTACATTTTTGGGTAGATCAATTCTGATTATAATAATAAGGTTAAAATGAATTCCTGTCCCCTGATTGATAAAAATAAGAACTGACTTAGGTGGATGGTCTGAAATTCACTTCTTCCTGAAAAAAATAAAATAACTACAGTATATTAAGATTATGATAACGCCAGTTGTTTTCTATATCCTCTATAATATTCCTTTGCATATTCAAGACTCCTTTTTAAAGAGCTAGATGCTTTAATGTTGGACTTTTTACAGGGGGAAATCACATCACCGTCTGAATTTAAAAAATTTACAAGCAAGTATTCACAAAGGTGGTTTTTCTTTACCCAATTTTAAATGGTATTACTGGGCTTTATCTTCCTGGTTTCTGCTGGAGTCTGATGTGAATGTAGGCGAATCTCCATTCACAAAAATGCACGGAGATCATCCCATCATTACAGCAGCCAAATTAATTAGGAAAAATATACAAAGAGTTGCTTTTACCAACTGGTTAACTGTAAAGTAGATTTAGAAAGGTAAGTCTGGCATATGAACATATTTGCTGTATATTTAATAAAACAAAAAGTCAATAAAATTTGCATAAATAAAAATAAATGTAAAGTCAGTAATAGAGCTTATTTCTATGCTAATGTAAATTCACAGCTTGGTTAGTTAAGGGCATGCCCTCTTTTGTTTCGGTAAGTGAAAACTAAGAGCACTGTCCATAGGAAGTGGACTAATTCACCTTTTTTTCTATGAATACATGTTTCTTTAACACTCAAAATAAGAAAAAAGGCTAATAAAAAAATTTGTTAATTGAAACTGCAAAAGCTGACTGCAGAAGCACAATAGCAGTGAAGAAATTTGGTTAAAAGCTAAAAAAAATTATCTATCTTTTCTCCTTGTCATTAAACTCAACTTAAAACCAGGTTCTGATGGTTTAAATAAAATCTGACAAATGCAAATCAGCTGTTACACAACTTCAGAAAAACAGGCAGAATTAGCCTTTCATTTCCTCTCAAATTTCCCACTAACCTGTTTGTCTCTTTTACAGCTTTTTTTGTGCAAGCTTGTTTTTTTTTTATTCTTTTGTCTTGACCCTTGTAGTCAAAAACAGTCTACACACATTCACCTGCAATAAATATTTTTATCTCAAAATAAATATTTGTCTTGTCCTCTGAGTCCATGTCTAGGTTGCCTCCTCTCTGCTGCAGCCATATGTTAGTTAATGGCATCCAGGGTTCCGACCACTGATAAGTGTTTTAATGACTTTAGAAGCCTATCATTTCATTGGGCTATAAAACTTCATGTTCTTTTAGCTCCTGACTGGAGATTTATTCAGATCATTAATACTACCACCTTTACCGATTATTGGGTCTGGATCAGGTGAAGGCTAAAGTTAATCAATCGTTTATGTTTTTATTTTTTTTTAGGAAATCCGTATGCAGGTATTCAGTATCAAAGAACTAAATTAAAAGATGTTTTTTTTTTCATAAGAGGTCGCACATAGTACGATTATCAGCCCCTACCTCCTGTTTTTAGCTCCAATCCTTTCACCTTTCAATAACAAAAAAAATGTTGTGGGTAAAAAAAGGAGGTTCAGACTGCTGTGTCGCACGGGATTTAGCTTCTGGATGTGATTACGCAACAGAAATGCACATTAAAGACGCTTGTCAAACTGGGACTACAGCTTTCCGAAAATTAACTGCCAAAAAAGTTGCAAAATTGTGGCAAACGGCTGAATCTCCACATTATAAAACCCTGTACTTATGAAGCTGTGTACCTTTGGATGTGTCACAGTGAAGGAATAATGTATTTCTGTTAAATTCAGTGAGGCTTTCCTGATCTACACCTGCCATATAAAGGTTTGTGGGAATCCATATAGTTCCTAAGCACCAGATAATGTGTGGAAGTCAATGTTCTAAATGAAAGGGAGGCACCCCGCTTCCTTTTCCTACTTCTCTTTTTACTGCCAACACTATTCGGACAGCACTTATCATGGCTACTGCTGACACTTTTCCACTTTCGTTTACGAGTCCCTACCACTTTGCAGTATTTGGGTGGAGCCTAACATCTGCCATAATGACTGTTGTGCTTGACTGCTTTACGTTACTAGGGGGGCTAGTTAGTTAATTAGTCAACAGCTGCTTAACCTGTTAACTAGGGGTTAACATTTTGGCAAAAAATCTGATTTTCAGGTGTCCGATATAATATCAATCTTTTAGTTACCAGTATCGATAAAAAAATAAAAAAACAGTGAGGGAAAATGGGTTAATTCTGCACCGCCACTCTGGCAGATACTAGTCCTGTGGAAACCTTCTGATCTTCTGATATGTTCGTCTTCTGATGAACATATACAGCACTTGATTTTTTTATTTATACATTTAATTTTGATAGCTGGGAAAAATATTGCAATATAAAGTGATATTGCAACATTGTGGTTATATTGTATCGTGACTTAAGTATCGTGATACGTATCGTATCGCAACAGCCATGCCAATACTCACCCCTGTTAACTGACCACAACAAAATGCCTGAAAAACCATTGATAAAATCAGCTGCTGTTCTTTAACCCATGAGAGAGTCTTGCTGGTCATATAAAACCAATGTAATGGTGGACAGTAGACTCAACGTGGATGTATCAGGCTGCTAATTTGGAGATTTTTGAGCTCATAGACTTTCTATGAGTTTAAATCTAGGCACTAATTTGACCATAAAAAAAGGTTGTTTTTTGTGTATAGTGAACTATTTTTGTGGTGATTTAGACATGATCTGTGGTTATGAGTTGATAAAATCTTCAATGATTACTAGTGTTGTACTGATACCAATACCAGTATCGGGCGGGGCCCCGATGCAGCACTAAAATGCTGGTATCGGCGAGTACCAACAAATAGGGCACCGATACCATTTTGAGAGCCAAAAGTTTATTCAACTATTGTCACCCATTCCAGGTAGGCAATAAAAATTTCTACTGGATTCACTTTGTATTAGACTTTTTCCTGCGTCACAAAGGTAGGCAGCAGCTTGAAAAAGCCATGATAGCGATTATTTTACATCCAAGTAGTATGCAGCTCTTCATATATACACACACACATCTATCTATGGTATCGGCCGATACTGCACAGCCAGGTATCGAGGCAAAAAAAATGGCATCAGAGCAACACTAATGATTAATGACACATTTTCTATTCCCTTGTAATGTTCACCAAATATCAATACTACTGGGTAAACTGAAAGGGAAACAGACCAGCCCCATTGCAGAGGGTTTATGCTGCATAAAAGCTGAGGAGGATAAAAATATGTTGACCTGGACAAAACAGAACAGCAGCGAGTATCCAGATGCAACTGGTGATATTCCTGCTTCACCTTGACTTACATATAATAACCTTAGGTCCTCATACAGACTTGTGAAGAGTTCCTTAATGGTTTTCCATCTCAATCGTGGATTATGTCTCCGGTCATCCTTACACTGTTTAATAAACCTAAACCTGATTTAATGACTAGGTAGTAAGTTGCTTAAATACCTGTCTATCTGCTGTGGTGCTGGTGCTCGCTGGGTATCGACCATCAGCCAGTTCAGACCGGTGATCCACATGTTGACCTCCTCCTCGCTGTAGGCTGTCATCACAGAGATATTAAATAAAACAATACATTTTCTGATCACCATTTTTTTCCTGGACAAAACATTAGTCCCCGTTAACAATTACAATTATTATAGCAACTTTAACAATTACAAAAGTTTCCGATAAACAAAATAAAAAAAATGGTCAGGCCCAAATGTAAAGCCATGTGGTACTTTAGTATAGTCTTTCATTTCTTGTTACTTAGCAGTATATACTGTAATATATACTGTTTATTTTTTGATAGCATTTTGTATCCTGGGTTTTTTTTTTTTTTTTTTTTGATTCGGTGATGTTCAATATTGGATCAAATTTAATGTCTTGATTAACCCTTAAAAACTTATCAACTTGTTTTCTATAAAGTTGTTTTTATATTAAGCAATCACCAAGCTGGTGTGTGAAATTAGTTTTTAAGGATTAAACCAAGATGACCCTGCTTTTATGGAAATTTAAGAACTCTACAATAAATTTGTTTAGTGCCAATACTTAAGGCCCATTTTTAATTGAAAAAAAATAAAACTAACATAAGTTATCAATGGAAAGTGATGTACATCAATGCAAACCTGCTTTTAAAGGGTAGTAAGTCTAAAAACAAATGTGGGAAAATACAAACAAAATGAAAAAAGTTATCAGACCTTTAAGTCTGTTAAAATATGCACTGACCTGCGACGCTGAGTGTTCGCAAGCGAAACTCAAGGCCATACAGCACAATGAAGCAGTGGGCCGGGTCCAGTTTACGAGCCTCCTCTGGGTAACGCTCGAAATCACGCGAGCCTTTCCCCAACCGCAGCTCCCGGATCTCACGTATGTCAACTGGGGGAGGAAGAGGAGGAAGGGAAGAGAGGAAGGATAGTGTTGCATGAACACAAATATGCTCAACCATTAATCACAATTTGGCACGTTGTTCATTTCCGTGCCAAACACACAAAAATCTACTGCTGGGAAGCTGCATGAATGGTCACACTGTGATCAGGAGGCCAGAAACAGATTCTACACAAACATCTCAATCGTGGGCTGCAGGAAGGGTAACGTTTCTGTAGACATCTTTGAATGCAGAAGCACTGTTTGTTCTTGAAAAAAAAAAGAACTCCCAGATTAAATGAGTGTATTTAACTAGATAAATTATTCTGGTCAAGATGACCTCATAATGTAACATCAGTGGGAGGGAAAGTAAAAAAGGTCTGTGGCCCTCGGTACTTATTTCTATTAACACACAAAAAAGTATGCAAGATGCTGCAAATAAAACAAAAAAAGCTAGTTCTAAATAATATGTATAGCCTACTCTAAATTAATTTTGGCTGTAAAACCATGACCTTAAAACCAAAACCAAATAAGTTTACATACCAAAGAAATGAAATAATTATTTTATTTTGAATAATCTTTTTATAATTAAATTGACTAAAAACTTGTTCTTAATAAAAAAAAAAAATACTAAACTTTGGGCCCATTTCAGAGAACTGTTCAGTTCCAAAAGAGTAGACTTATATAATTTATTTTCAAACAAATAAAATCCATTTCCATCACACTTTATCCCGACTGGGGTAACGACTCTCCACAGGAGAGAGGCGGGGTTCGCCCTGGACAGGTCACCTGTCCATCACAGGGCAACACAGAGACACACGGGACAAACAACCATTCACACACACACTCACAATCAAGTCAAACTCAGGCCAATTAACCTAACAGCTTTGTTTTTGGACTGTGTGAAGAAGCCAGAGTACCCAGAGAGAACCCATGCCTGCACAGGGAGAACATGCAAACTCCATGCAAAAAGATCCCAGGCTGGGAATGGAACCTGGAACCTTCATGCTGCGAGGCATCAGTGCTACCCACTGCTCCACAGAGCAGCCTAAATCTAAGACAGAGTAATTGAAAAGGGTTGTTAGCAAAATAGGACAACCTATAAAGCTCTGAAACTGCATTTTGTAAAGATTTTTAACCTTAAAAACCCACCTGGTCGCCAGCGACCCGTTTTAAAGCGTTTACATCTAATAACTCAGAATGCATGAAAATTCCACTGGTAAAATGTTTACCAATATAGACATGTCAGACATCGTTGGAAAGCTTAGATTCTCCACAATTCAACCACCTAGTTCATTTTATGGAGACATCAAGCACCAAAGCACAATTAACACAGATATAGCAGCATGTCAAAATGTACCATGACAAAGCAGCCACAACAAGCAAGCATGTCTTTATAACTGCTGTTCGAAAAAGACCTGTTATTTTCGAGAATATTAAAAAACAACTTTGAGTCTTGTTTGAACTGACGCAGCTTGGGGGTTTTACTCACCCAATTTTCATGTATATATTCAGAAACTAGAAGGTGTTAGCTTTCAAATATTGTTTCACACATGTCATTTGGGCTTACAGTTTCTGTTATTTGCTTTGCCATTTGGGTAGGTGGATATTAAAAGGGTTAATCTAATCTTTATTAGCTACAGCAGGGTTTATACAGGAATGGATAAGTCTAATTGAATGCTTTTTAATGCTTTTAGAACAAATTTTACCCACCTTTGATGCAGCTGACAACAATATTTAGATTTCTTAACTGGATCTATGAGGTATCAAGGTACTGTCGTGGAATGGTTTATGTTTTATTTTTCTGAGTATTTCTGTAAGCCTGAGAGAATCTGCTCCGTTCCAGCTCCCCCTGCTTGTAGAGTTCCTCAAGGATCCATTTGTGGACAAATTTTATTTTCCTAATTTTTTTTTTCCTTAGCTTTTATTGTCAATACACTGTCATAAAATTAACTCTCTGCATTTAACCCAACCCTTTGGGGAGCAGTGGGCTGCCATCTTGGGGCGCTCGGGGAGCAGTGTGGGGTTAAGGGTCTTGCTCAGAGACCCAGATTGGCAGTCCGTGGGAGTGGGGCTCAAACTCAGAACCTCAGTATTCCAATCTCTATGCCTTAATCACAAGGCCGCCACTCAACTTTATTTATATACTTTCCATATCTTTAGGAAAGTGTAATATTTTATTACGTTCATTTCTGATAGTAATCAGATTTATTTTCACTTGAGGCATAATTATCCTTTCTCACTGAAACCACTGCTTAACTCAGGTCAAACTCAGATAAAAATTCTCTAAACCTCAAAGAAAATAAATCTGAAATTATAAATTATGATCATGGTGGAAACCGTCAATCGTCTTTTGGTGTTTTTGAAGTTATTTCTAAAAACACATCTGAACTCAGTGACTTATAATGCAGTCAGTTTCAACAGTTGAGCATTTATATTTGCAAATCAGTTTTACTCTGTATTTGTATTTTCCTTTATGTTGTAATTAATGTTACTTGTTGTTTTCATGTGCAACACTTTGGCCAGTGTTGGTTGTTTTTAAATTTACTATATAAATTAATATCCTTGTTTCACCCCTGTAATATTGCCAAAATAGAAACATCCTGTCACAAAGTGAGAAGAAAAATAAATGGTAAATATTTGTTTTGCTGCTCGTTGAATACCCTTTTCATTATTAGATGTTCTAACCACATTTTTTTTGTCTCATTCGGTATATGGATAACATTTCTCTAGAATGTATATCCTGATGTTGATCAGTTGGCTCGAAGCTCGTCTGCCTGGCTGTGTGTTTCCTGGACAGGGCCGCCTTTTACAGTTGCCTTTTGTATCTCTATTTCTGCCTCCTTGAACCCCAGTCGTGCTCAGCAGATGGCCGCTCACACTGAGCCTGGTTCTGCTGGAGTTTTTTTCCTGTTAAAAGGAAGGTTTTTCCTCTCCACTGTCGCTACAAGCATGCTTAGTGTGAGGGATTGCATTCGAGTCAATGAGCCGATGCAATCAACAGATTTTCCTTAGATAGAAAACTTTGAATCAATTTGACTGTATGATCTGGTGAACTGTAAAGTCCCTTGAGATGACTTGTGTTGTGAATTGGTGCCATATAAATAAATAAATAAACTGAATTGAATCTAAGAGAATAGAGTCACGTCCATATTTGTATGAATCTCTTTTTGCACATTATAATTAATTCCATTCTGTATTTGCATTTGGATTAATAAATCAATATTTGGGTGCAATTCTTTGCACAGCAATGCAGGTTTTTTTCCAAAGCCAAATTTCTAAATATCTATGTATACTAAACTATTTTTCATATCAGATTTCAGTCTTTAAGTAATTTGGGCTTTTTTTTTTTGTCTTTTTCCCATCAAAATGTATCAATTGTTGTGCTACCATTTGAAGTAATCAGCTTTTCATTGTCAAAGTCTTTTAGTATATTATCAGTCAGTTGAGTTTAATCTGAAGGGCTATGGTTCTGTAACCGCAGAGCTGATGTAAACCCAGGACTCGACTTTCACACTTGCAGCAGTCGACACACCCACAAAGAAAACGTCCAGCTTATTGACATAGCAGATGTCTGGTAAAAACACAAGTAAACACATTCTTCTAGACACTCAGCACATTCTCACACAGTCCAATAGCTTTCTGAGAAAAAAAAAAGAAATTGCGAGCAGTTTTCCACAAGATGAACTCCTTCTAAATGAAATTAGCAACAACTTTATCTTCTTTGGCCACTGAAAAACACCACTTTTGGATTCTTTTTGCCGATAATCATTAGGTAAAAGTGAACAAGCAGGATGTTGTGGATAATACTGACTAAAAAAAGGTGGGAGTAGATCTGGTTCTCATCTAAATGGTCAGCATATGGCAGGGAGAGGGTCTGGCATGAGATTAAGAGAGGGGGCCATCTTCCTCACATAGTAGTCAGATTTTAGTTGATAGTTTCAAGAAATCCTTTGATCTTCCATTTGTGTTTTCAAAGGTTAAAATATCTGTGATTAAATGTCTAAAAAGATAGATGCACATTTATCACTGTCCTTTTAAATAAATGTAAACATGAGCTGTTATAACCTCTTAAAGTTAGAATGACAGTTTTGTAATATTTCAGTAGTAGACAAAAACATTTATCAACCCTGGCTTTTATTAACCATCTCTCCTATCTCTCTGTCTGGTTTCAATGCATGCACATTCCTGTTGCACCTTGATTTCTTCCCTTATTATTATTTCTTATTAATCTTTTTTTAACCACAACTCCAAACAGCCATACAATTGCATCTTTATACAATTGCATCTTTTTTGCATGTTGCATATTGTAACTTGACATTAACATCAAAATAAATACACACACAAGCAAAAAATGGACACAAACAAGTTCACATTATACAAATTCAAGGTCCAATTAAAGAATTACACTGGCAGTCTTCAGTTACAGAGGTCTTTAAAAAGGTTTGAAATCCTTACAGGAAAAACGTCTTTAGTATACTCTAGAATCATCTATCACGTTGCAAAGTATGTGACCTCAGGTCGACATTCAGAAAGACATCTGGTTACTTTAAAGAGTAGCTAACTCAAGGATCACAAATCTTAGCAGGTCAGTGAAGCTTTGAAGAAAAACCTCCAAGGTTTTGGAGGATTAAGCTGTACAACCTGAAATGGAAAGAAATTGTGGCGTTGTGCTTAAGCTCTCCCTTTAAGAAAGAAATACCTTCAGAATCTGAGATTTGGGACACATTTAGTTCGCTTCACAGTTATAAATCATATATATTCTTTATCAAATAATGTAAATAATATATATTTTTGCCTCAAGCAACAAAGCAGCAGTTTGAATGTCAAGGCTAGCTTCCTTAGAGTAGGGCCAGCTGTGAAGGTTGGTAAAATGCAGAGTCATCTGCATAGAAGTGTGTTTTATCAGTAGATATGTGAGCACTATCACCTTATGTACAATCCAAATGCTTTCTCTCACACCATTAACTTGACCAGCTTATTATTGGGGAAGGTTTTCTGCATGTTGCTTA